GGTAAAAGAGGTCATAATTATATAAGAAAACACAAAAATTTTCTTGAAAGGAAAATAAAATCATAATTTATCATGAGTTCAGTAAGTAAAATTAATTTAATGAGAAATATAGAAAAAGATAGCTTGTGCTCTGGTGGATCTCAAAGGAAATACAACCTTTAACATTTAAAGAAAAAGTCATGCTGTTTGAGAGCACATGTAGTATTTTTAGAGATTGGAATGGCATAGTGGGTGAGTTTACAGTGGGTTTGAGTAATTTCTGCAGTATAAAATATGAAACCTAATTCAATATCCATATGTTCACTCATGATCTTTTACAGTCCCCTAATGCTAAATGGCAAATACATTTTAATTAAAGCAGAAGCTGACATAAATTCATGTTCTATAATTTGGGCACTAACGTGTAATTCCACTCAGAATATTAATTCTTTTATTCATAAATAAATGTCTAAAATTGTAGTTTAGTTTGTACCAGTAGAGGCTAGCTCAAGCTTATAGAGTTTTCCTTTCTGAACTCTGATTAGGTTTCATACCAGAGATCCCTTCCCTCTATATCCACCAATGAAAATAGCTTAGCATAGCACCACTGTTGAGACAGTAAATGACAAATGGAAATGGTTCTGAACTGAAATTTATTATTGATTATTGCTAAGTGAATTGTCATCTTTTTGTATTTAAAAATTACATATCCAGGATATTAATTATTCGGTCTAAATCATTTGATCAAAATGTTTCTGATGCAAGTATTTGAGATTTTAGTGGTAAGGGTTCATTTCATTTTTATTTCATTTTCTATGTCAAGTTCATGATGCAATATATGCCTTTTAGAAAAGCACATGACATAGTTAAGAGAATTCTTTTGAGAAGAGAACTGTTTTTTAGTCTCCATAGGAGTCCTAAATTTAAATAGGAAACTTGATAGGATTGAGCTAGCGTGGCAAAATTCAGCTAATCTAAGAGGCCTATGGAATCTGTAAATACCAAAAAGAGAGAAAATGTGTTTTACAAATAACTGTCACTGTGTGTTTGGAAATCCATAAATTCCTTAAACTTTAGTTTTTCAAGAATCAGTGTCCTAAAAGGAGAAAAATATTTCGTACATCTTCATTTCCCTCTCTTCTCCACATGTACAGGTGGATATTTATCAGAATATAGTCACCTTATATTTCTTGCTGTATTTTCATTCATGCTGCTACACTAGTCCCTTAAGATTTTGCCTCTAATCTGTACTCCTGAGAAAAGCACACATCTGTCCTTGGGAAGTCATCCTTGATTAAAACAAACAGCAACCTTGTAATGTCTCTCTGTAGAATCATTACAGCAAATTGTGTGAGGATTAAATAAGATGACAATAATAATTTAAGTATCACGTGTAGCTACCTTAAAGTAGTTCTATCTAGCTCTTCCATCTATTTAAGGTTTGGAAAGAATCCTGCCTTCCATTGGCACTTACTGTGCACTTTCACTAAAAAAGAGATCAATTGAAACAGCAGCGAAATTTTTTAAAATATTCTGTGGAGAAATGCATGCACAAACTATATTAATTGAGCTCTAAAATACTGGTGCTAAACAACAAAAGCAAGGAAATGCACAGTGAAGCAGGAAATGTACCATATGTTATTGTATACCTGGGTACAATGGGGACACTATCTTAATGACTTTCTTAATATTTCCGTTGTACCAGATATTGGTGGGCATATGGTATGCTGCCTTTTTATACGCTTGTGTCTTTTCACAACTTTGTTAGCTGACTTTGATAGCATTTTCTTTTTGTCTGCTGTTAGGAAAAAGGCTTTAAAATGTTTTGCTTATTTATCTGGAGTTTGAAGCCCATGCACATCATTTTGCTTATTAATTTATACCCCATTTTTAAAACTTTCTTCAAGAGCTGTTGCTTACTTATTTTATTTTTAAGCTTTCCATAGTCTTAGTCCCTGTCTGGAAGTAATTTGAAATACAGTTGAGTGTTTCACATGCAGATGGGTTTTGACTCAATGTCAGTGCTGGCCAAACAGATGGCTAAAGCAACGGCAACAGCTGCAGAGCTCACCAGGCTTTGCACAACCAGAATGGTACAACCATAGAATCATAGAATTATATAATCCTTTCTGTTGGAAAAGACCTTCAAGATCATTAAGTTCACCAGTTAATGCAGCACCACTAAACCATGTCCCTAAGCATCATATCTACACATCTTTTGAACACTCTCAGGGATAATGACACAACTACTTCCCTGGAAAACTGGTTTCAGTGCTTGACAACCCTTTTACTACAGAAATTTTTCCTAATATCCATCTAAACTGCCTCTGTCACAACTTAAGGTCATTTTCTCATGTCCTTTTTCTTACTTGAGCATTCATGCCACTGGCTTCTTCCCTACTGACCCAAGGAACCTCAACGAGCTCCAGCTGGCAGAAAAGTTTCCCATTTCTCTTGGCTCCTAGTGCCCTTCCAGCTGAGAAACAAAACAAAACTTCTTAGGACATCATTTCCTGAACACCACGTGTTTTCGAGTTTGGCTGATACAGAATACCAAAGGAAAAGGTTTCCCTAATTTTTTATGGCCCAATCTTCATAAACGTTCGCATTTAAATAGGTTGTTCATTGCTTCCATCATGTGGAATACACACATTGAAGTCACAGAAGTCCAGAGGTAGTCAGAGGAAATATATCATGTAGCAGAGAAGAGCAACTGGGCCAAATCCTTTTGACATACATGTGACTTACTCCAGTTATATCCTGGCACAAATTCCCTTCATCAAAGTGATCTCAGGGCTTCTTACTGGAGGTGTTTGAAGACTGTTTAAACCAATGTGGAAATAAAAGGACATTGTTGTACATTATCTGGTCAATAGCCATTCTTAAGTCTTATAAGACATTACAAATCAGGGCTAGTTTTTAACTAAGATTTAGTAATTTCTGGCAAGTGTGAATACTTTTGTCTGAACATTTAAAACTTGCCACTCTAATATTCACAGAGCAGTTCTGGTAGCAGTTCATTATATGTGCAGCTGCATTAATTTAAATATGAAATAGAAGGCATAATGAAAGTCTCCTAACTTTTTTATAATGTCAGTAACCTTACATTATATCTAGCAATGCCAGACTAATTGTTTCTGAAATGTTTAAATAAGAAATATTTTGATTGTCCTGAAAATTTACCATGTGTATTCTCGGGAAATCAAGTAATTTAAGTCCATAGCCATGTTACACCTAATAATTTTTCATATATTTTAGGGTTTTTTCTTTAAATTTAATTTAAACCTTTTTCAATTGCTAGTTTTAGGAATTCTATTTCTAATTTACATTAATATATATTTGATTAGCACTTGAATGGGAAAGGATAGAACTGAGTAATTTTGCACAAGTATTTTAATAAGGAGTTGTTCATATAACTTATCTGGAATTTTTTGTAAGGCAAAGTCATTACTGGAAATCATTAAATAAAAGTAATTAAAAAGGAAACAGCCATCTCTTTCAAAAGGATTCCAGTAAAATTCAATACCAGTGACCAAGTTGCTGCACAGTCCTAGTCTTGTGTATCCAGCAGGGTGACGAACTTGCCAGCTTATTGATTCTTACTGATGTAGGGCTTGGCAATCAGTCTGTATCTGGAATAATTAGTGGGGATGTTAATCAGTAGACAGGAGCATCATGGTGTCCCTGACACTACAAAGAATTACACTGCTATGCCAGCTCAAAGGCTTTTAATCTTTGGCAGCTTAAATGCTTTTGACATCTGACGCTGTTTTCTCTAAGAACATTGTTGTTTTATAAATAGTAGGCAGATTAGATTAGATGTGTGTGCACAGTGGCATGACTGACCTGTCCACGCTGTCAGGGAATAGATTTACAAATGCATTACAATTGCAAAGAATTAACTGGGTACCATTACAGTGGCAAAAAGTCTCCACATTTTAGTAAAAAGTCTCAGGTTCTTTGACATTTTATTCAGACTTTGTTCACAAGACTATTGGGGTCCAAAAATCAAGAGTAAACAATGTGTTCATGAATTCTCTTTTCTGAAAACCTGTTCAAGACACATAAAGGGACAAGTAACAGAGTAATTGCACCATGGCTTTTGGTAGCATTTGAATGAAAGTGCCAAGATGATATGGAGGAAATTGGAGATGCATGCCCCTAAGCTTAAAGCACAATTAATTAATCATGGATCAGATAAAAACTAGCAACATACAGAAGCAGTTTAGATCTGACATGATTTCCTCACTTTTACATAAAGTCTTCTCAAGTCAGCTTGTACTGTAGCTACTTTGGGTGTACTTAAGATCATAAATTTTGATAAATGTGTGCTGTTTTGTGCAGGGCTACTGTCTGTTCGCTGTGCTCTAAATTCCCCAGAGTGTAATAGCCAGTTTCTGGCACCCAGCTTGAGTGGATGTTCTTGCTCTGCTGCACATTGTTATTAGGAATGCGACCTATCAACTCAAAACTTATAAAAACTGACATACTTTTATCATAGTTATGTTTCAATTATAAATTTTATTGTGCTTATACTATCTCCTTATTGTTATTAATTTAATATGAAGACATTATGCCAAACTAGTGGCTAGAATTCTGTCAAATGAGGAGTTTGAGACCTGTTTGATCTTTTGCACTATTTCTCACTTTCCCTTCTTGCCAAAAAGACACAAGTTGAAAGTAAGTGCTTTAAATGTATCTTGAATAGCAATAGGACTGAAGTTCAGAGCTGCCAATCAATAAATAATGGCTCCTAGTCATCAAAAGTGTAGCTCACTTCTCTCTGTGAAAGACAATTCCAAGTAATTGCTCTGAAACCTTGTGCTTTTTCATTTCTTATTATGGAATCAGCTGAAAAAGGATCCAATGTGTACAGTACAGAAAGATTTTCTCATCTAAGCTCTAATGTCTCCTATTGAAATCTTTTTCTTAGAAGAAACTTGAGCTGCAAGTGTTTAAACTTGAACTGACTTTTGTGTTTCATGTTGTGGTCACACCTTTTTAAAAATTCCATTCCAGAGTAAAGAGGCGGAAGGAAGTGAACGCCGGATTTGGGACCAGACAAAGTTCCTTGTCTGTTGTTGGAGATTCTGCCACGACAGTGAGTGAAGATATGGGAGATCACCAAAAACCCCTGCAGCAACGACGCTAACAGCAAAGAGGAGAGGCCAACATTGCTCATAAAGACATACAAGAAAGTTTCATCAAAAAAGTGCATGTCAGATATGTATAGGAATACTGTGTGCATTGTTTCTATGCATTCCTGATTTTTTTATAGGAACCAAGGAAAACATGCTAGAGTCAGGGTGCACATTTCTAGAAGACATGTTGGCCATTGTCCTTCCTTTCCAGTTGTTCTAACTGTTCTCTTCTAAAGCCAAAGGTGGACTTTAATTAAAATGTTCTATATTTTGCCTTTGGGAAAAAGGACTTTAAAATGTGCATGGTCTATGAGAGAGGTTCACATTCTCTCCTGGGAAAAAGTTGAGTCTGAAATGGAAGTCAGTGGTTTGTTTCTTGCTTTCCTCGTGTGTTTTACTTTCACAACACAGTGGAAAAAATATCTGTATCACAGGACCCCTAGTTCTACCAGAGGGACATGTCTATTACACTTTTCTTTCATTAGAAAAAAGAAAGGAAAAAATTATTTTAAATACCCAAAAATTATCACATACACATTTAGATTAAAAAAAATCCTTTCCCTATGTGTTTCTTGTACTCACCGCATAACAAAATAAATGCATCTCAAATTTACCTTATTGTCTACATATCACATTTTAATTTAAATTTTACTTTATTAATTGTCCATGAAAAAGAATTGTAAATGTCATGGAGGAAGTAACATAAATAAGATAAACTGGAAAAGCAGATTTTAAGAATTTTAGAAAATTCACAATTTATGAAAACAACAGCAGCTTTCAGTCATCAAGGGAGACATAATTTGGTTTGCCATGTGCAATTGATAATGAATATGTGCAGATTCTATTTCACAGGGCTTGCTGTAATTGCTCAGGAATATGTTTGTTTCACTCCTTATATCCCTAAAAACTAAAAACATATCTTAGGGCTCCAGTTGTATTTAAAGCTATTTCCTTTCTAAGAGGGGTTTTTAGATCTCTTGATTTCTTTCGTAACCTAGGACCATACAAAAAGTGCAAAGTATTAAAGATTCTTGATTACACTGGAATCACATTTTTCCCAAGAATTCTCTGAGCTGCAGATGCTTGGAAGCTGGGAACAAAATGTTCTTATGACCCTCTCTGAGCTTTAGGCTGCTGCTGGAGATGGGATGCTAGAGCAGAAGTATCTGTGCTTTGACAACTTTTATACATTCTTAACCCTCTTTCATGTTTGTAATGCTGAACTAATTTCAGCCACTACCCCTCAGTACATGCTGAGGGATAAACAAGGGATATTCCCTTATATATATATGAGGGAATTCTGTCTTTGCTGCCAGTAGCTGATTCAGAACTTCGTCAACAAGGTACAGAGATACTGTGAGACAATTTATTTTTAAAAGGAATTTAAACATGTAATACTTACTAGAATTGACAATAAGATTCATAATTCTTTTTTTTCATAATTCAAACTTCCTCCCTTTATAAGCTCACTGGTTCAAGATTTTATATTAGACAAAAGATCTCTGGTCTTGTTCCATGCATTGTGAAATGGCACACTGACTTTCTCTAAAACTCCATCTGCTTTTCTTATGCCAGCATCTTCACGATGCCACAGTGTGTGAAATGGCTGCATTGAAAATGTTGATATGAACAATAGAAATGGAAAGTGCGTAATTATTGATTTTTAAGCGCTGCAGCAGCCAAATGTACTTCTGTGGTTATACTGAAGCACTAGAAAGAATGGCAACTCAACAGCTTACTGATAAAAGCTTGTATCATTTACATTAACTTCAGAGATAAGATCTTTCTCTTTTTTTCCTTTTGACAAGCCATTAGAAATACAGCTATTTTAGATATAAAGTATGGTTTCAGCACTGACCAAAATACCTATAAGCTCCAGAGTATTTTTTTTCAGTTCTCAGTAATAACTGTGCCTACAAATCAAGTCAAATGATATTAGGGATTACTGGGGAAATTGGGATTCTATCTTTTCTGTCTCTATTTCTAAAGCTGTAGGAAAACCAGTTGGTGCTGGAGAACACTTCTGTGCTAACAGCTTGGTAGTGCAACATGGATATTGAGGGAAATCAAGCCAGAAGCTACTTTCTGCTGCTCTTTTTTAACTCTATCATAAACCCTTTCACATGTGTTCACTGTATTATACAGCCCAGCAGGTGGGACACACCTGGCTGGTCTAAAAGTCATGGTGACAATAGAATATCACCACATGATGCTATTTTTACAATTTATATTTCAGAATGTCAGCACAGTATCTTTTCTTTCTCGTGAGAAAATTTTAGTTTCTTTTAGGGTAGTTAATATTGACATTTATCCCGCACATATCTTTCTGATCACTTATTGATCATATTTTACTTTCAGGCACCTTCTGAATAGCACTTTTTAAGTTTTCTTTCTTACCTCTTATAGATCACACAAGATGCCTTAACTTTTCATGATTTCTCCCTATTGCCTGAGACAGAGAAAACTCAGCTACTTCCATTATCTAAATAAAATATTTATTTCATCTTTATATATGCAGAGAACTTCAGAGCCTTCTCTGAAGAAGTAAACCCATAAATTAGTCACTTGAAAGTGAGTCAAAATAAGATGATGTGATGATTACCCTGGCTGCAGTTGAGAATGTGTGAGAATGCTAATTTATGACCTTTCCATAATAATACTAGAATATTTCCTGATCTTAAATATACACCTATGATATTTGCTATATACCAATGTTCCCACCATTCCTCTTCACATTTTCCATGTGGGAAGTGAAGATACACACATTTGTGCAGGAGTGGTTTGCTCAAGGTCACCAAGCATAATTATGGGAAAACCAAGAAAACTAACTTAAATCTGGTAGGAAACAATTGAGCTGTTCATCTTTTGAGATGAATGGTGCCTAAAACAGTGGACAAAATAGTAATTCCTATTTTCCTTTATAAGGTAATAAATAGCATGAATCTTTTATGTGGTCAATTTTGCAAACTGATTGTAAACACAGTGATAGAATGACATGGAAATAATTTTCACAATGCTCAATTAAACCCTGTTTGATACCATCAACGTGTGTATTATTTAATATTGTTACATGTGCAGAAAGATAGGAAAGAAAGAATGATTTACGTGGTCTTGTGGTCTCGTATTAGTTGATATGGAAACAGTGGGTAACCCTGTGTTTGGAATAAAATAAACCAAAATAGCTCAGCTGGAAGAGACCTACAGTGACCATCTACTCCAACTGCCTGACCACTTCAGAGCTGACCAAAGCTAAAGCTTGTTGTAAAGGGTATTGTCTAAATGCCTCTTAAACACTGACAGCTTTGGAGCACTGATCTCTAGGAAGCCTTTTCCAGTGTTTAACCACACTCTCTGCAAAGAAATTCTTCCTAATGTCCATTCTAAACCTCCCTTGGCACAACTGTGAACCATTGCTATGCATGCTGTTACAGGACACTGGAGAGAAGGGTTCAGCAATTCCCTCTCCACTTTTCCTCCTCAGGAAGCTGCAGAGGGTGGTGAGGCTCCCCCTCAACCTCTTTTTCTCCAAGCTACACAAGCCTAAAATCCCTAGCTGCTCCTTCGAGGACATTGCCTCCAGCCCTTTCATCTGCTTTTTTGTCCTTCTCTGGATTCATTCAAGGATCTTTTTATCCTTCTTATATTGTGGGGTGCAGTATTGCACAAAGCGCTCGAGGTGAGGCCACACCAACACTGAATAGAGCACGACAATCACTTCATTTGACTGGCTGATGGCACTGTTTCAGCCATCCCAGGATGGGATTTTCCTTCAGGACTTCCAGGGCACTCTGCTGACTCGCACTGAGCCTGCTGCAGAGCAGCACTCCCAGGATCCTTCCTCCAAGACTGCTCTCCAGCCATTCCTCTCCCAGTTTATTACAGTGCCAGAAATTACTCCACCCTTGGAGCAGAATATGACATTTGTTCTTGTTGCATTTCATCCCATTAATCATTACCTAATGCTCCAATCTGTCCAGATCCCTCTGCAAGGCATCCTGTGCCACAAGAGAGTCAACAGCAGCTCCCAGCTTGGTATCATTAGCAAACCTGCTAATGGTGTATCCAGCTCCTGCATCCAGATAATTAATAAATATATTGATACATTATTGATACGTATGTTGAAGGAAACGGACCCTAAAATTGAGCCCTCAAGAGCACTAGTGGTGGTCAATTGGCAGACAGTTGTAGCTCCATTCAGTACAAACCTTTGAGCTCTACTCTTCAGCCAGTTGATCACACAGCACACCCCAAAAACAGTCATCCCACAGTTGGACAACTTGTCCAGAAAGATGCTGTGAGGCACAGAATTAGCAGCCTTAGTAAAACTCAAACAAACTATGCTGGGATTCATAAAGTTAGAGGGTTTTGAGGAAATGGTTAAAAAGAGCAGGCCTCAGGCAGAAGTTTTGTTAGCATTGCAAATACAGCAAAAAGTTTTCTAAGCAGTAGAGCATACGTGACAAATAACAATAGACCTCTGTAGAACTGGCTTATGGATTGCAACAAGGTTATTTAATGTATATCTTTAGAAGGTTAGTATGAATGGATCTCTGTTCTTTGTCTGTTATGAACAAGTCTTTGTTTTAACTACCATTATGTGTGTTTCATATGATTGGATGGAATTCTTGTCAATATGTGGTGCCCTATGTGTGATTGGCTGAAATCTAGGCTGAGATGGTTTTATGCTATGCTGTAATGTCACACTCCCTTGGCATTCCCTGTGGATCAGCGAGCTGTTAGCATCCTGTCTCCATTGTCTAACAATGTGCTGAGACTGATGTACTGAATAAATGGCTCATGTCACTGGTCCAGATTGTCCCGTCCTGTTCGATTGTATATAATCTTGCCGCGGCAAAACTGTATTCTTCACACATAGGCAAATGACTTTATCATAGAAATATATCAAAGTAGTCATTTAGGACTTTAATTTTGTGAACCTATGTTGTCTGTGCCATGTTGATTTCCTCC